CTCAGAGATCCCAGGATCAATAGTAAGCAGTGTCATCTTTCTGCTGTCCCTGCTCTGCCTCCTTGCCTACAGCTAAACACCATGGTCTGAGCATCCTCCAGCAAAATGTCCTTCATTTGTCCTTGACACGCTGGAGGCATCGCTGACCTCTCTGTGCTCTCCCTCTGCCTTCCAGCCAATAACAGCATTGCATTCAACTTATGACCAATTCCACAGCAAACCCATCATAATCTTTAACTCCTTTAAAATCCATCCCCATTTGGCTGTGGCAAAGCAAAGCCCGTAAATCACGATTAGTGAAAGCAAAAGGCCAGAGAAGAGATAATTAATTTCACTTTGCTGTTCAAAGGCTGCACTGCCCTTGCTCAGTGGAGGATTTGTGCCCTTTAGACAAAAGGCTGACAAGTGTCACCTGTTAATCTTCTCTGTATGCAGCTCTTTGCAGCGTGAGATGGTCCTGTCAGGGCCCTGCTGGCTCTGACAGCTGCTATTTGCAAGTTAGCTGCAAAGCACTCCCTCTTCATTCCTCTGGCTATTTTTAGCATTTCTCTTTAGATGCAATAAAAAAAAGACACCTCGTATCGGTGATAACCAGGTTGTAGCGCTTGTTCCCCTTAAGGGAGAGATGTGTTGGGCAATGGGAGGGGCAGGGCTTTCCAGGATCACTGCGGTGTGTGTGAAACATCTGCTGGCTGTCGCCCAAGGTGGAGACACCACTGTCACTTGCAGCACATCCCTTTAGGAGCCTGTCTCCAGCACATGCAGTGTGTGGTGGTTCAGCTGGAGAGCTGGTTTCAGGATCAAGGGCAGGTCAGAACAGCTCAGGATATGCAAAGGGCAAGCACGAAAAGTCTGCTGAGCCTGCAGCATGCTCCAGAGCAGCAGGGAAGGACTCTTGGGAGCATCAAGGCTGCATTTAAAGAGTTGAAAGAAGTCACAATAGTCCCTGAAGCTCTTTTCCTCCCTGCTTTAACTGCAGGAAAAACAAGTGAGTGAATGGGAACAGCCTGTCCCACCAATCTCACCGTACATGTCCCCCTCATTTCACCCTCCCAGCATCTCTCTGAGCATTTGACAGACAGCTCACCAAGCTGGATTTGAGCATCCGAAATTTAGTCTATTCTGCTAAATGGTTCCTGCTGGTTTTAATTCACATTCATGCTAAGTTTCTGCTGTTTTATTTTCCCCTTCCCTCTCCCCTCAAGGGAGAAGCAGTAGCTTTCTTGGAGATAGCTTATGATTTTTCCAGACAGAAATTGTTTCCATTCCAGGGTTATTGGCAATACCCAAATATATGTCCAGGAATTGGTCAAAGCCAAGATTTAGAGCTGCTGCTTCTAGTGTCTAATAAAGCAGCACTGCAAAAGGTCAGCCTCTGTGCAATGTAGCAGCCAGTTCTACCAGTTAATGGCATAATCTATTATAGAAGTAATTCCCTATGTCTTCCCTTCCCAGTCAAATATAACAACAGTGGGGAACATTAACTGTCTGATGTAATACTGAGTTTCTTATAGTGCTAGTAAACCCATTAACTAGGGTTGTTATCCAGACTGACAGACTTGACCTTAGCCTGTGTTTCTAAGTGAGCTTTGCCATTCCCCTGGGGGTCAGCAGCTTCGTTCAAGCAGCAGCTCCATTGCCTTCCTTGTGAGGGTCTGTGCTGGTGGCCCAGCCCAGGTGTCCCTGCAGCAGTGTGCTGCCCTCTCCCTGTAGCTTGCACTGCAGAGCATTCATCATTTCAAGGTCATCCAGAGCTCTCTGACTTCTGAATTTATGGAGGATACCAGCAGCCTTTGCTTTTCTGTAAGAACTTCCAGTTGCCATTGTTTCACCTTTAGCCCAACAGCTCTTGTGCTTTTTAACACTGTCCTTCATACTCTCCTGCTTTTTTCCTCTGTATCATTGATGCAGGCTGCAGCATCAGCTGCTCTGTTAGCAGGTGCTTTTACTTTCTCCTGAGCTGCCCGAGCTGCTGGGCAGAGCTTTTAGATAGGATCACAGAACAGCTTGGAATGGACCTTAAATATCTGGTTCCAGCCCCTGCCGTGGGCAGGGACACCTCCTGCTAGACCAGAGGAGGGGTAGGCTGGTGTGAGAGCACACGTGCCTTCTCTCCACACAGGTATAGTGCAGAGGAATTCTTGGCATCAACCTTTGATGTGATTTTCTCCCTGGCAGGTAGGAGGAAGTGGTTTAGTGAATTGTTTTGAGTATTCGGGGACTAGAGGGGTTTCTCTTCTTTACTGTCCTGCAGCATGCAGGGTTTCTGTGGGTGGTCTTCTCCCACCTTTGTGTCTTCTCTGCAGTAACATGGCTGGACTTCTCCCTAGAGAGAAGTTGCTCCAAGACCTGGTTCTGGGTGTGCTTTGAACTCTCATAGCCCTCAGCTTCACTCAATCCTGGGTTTCCCCTCCTCTGTCCTGGTCCTCAGCATCTTGCTAATTAGCCCAAGCATCTGTTCTGAGCACAGCAGTAACATTTCCCTGAACGGCTGGGAGTTGTCTTGCCAGATTGTTATTTATGTGCTCGTTCAGGTCACGCACTCCCCAGGGCAGGAGCGAGACCCAAGTTTGGCCCATTTGTCTTCCATGAGTTGAAGAGAATAAAGAAAACATTTACCTTCTGGCTGATGATCCATTCATCTCCTGCTGAATCTTATGTCTTTGTCTGTCAGATCTCCTTTTTCCTGCCCTATTTTGAGTTCTCTAGGCACTAGTTTTCATCCTTTTTTGACTCTCTGTGTGCAGCCCAAAATGCCTGAGCCAGCAGGGTCACGGAGTCTCGCTGGTCCTCATGTGCACCAGGGACTCACTTCTTCCCTCCTTGTATGGGCAAATCACGAGCCTGATAAAGCCTGTCTGGCTCTGAGCTCCCTCTTCTCTGCTTCCCCCATCCCATGTCCCTGCAGATTTTCCAGCCCTGGAGCTCTCTCCCTCTGTGCACAGTTTATCCTGGGGAGCCAGACCACAAATCCAGCACCTCTGCCCTGGTCCCAGAGATGGTGGGGCTGACAGATGCCAGATGGGTGGTGGGGCAGGAATTGTGTGGCCCTGGACATTGGGGATGCACCTTGTGCTGCTAAGGAGTTGGTGACACAGGAAACTGAGAAAAAGGTTAAGCCTTCTCTGCAACGAATGTCAAATAAATGCTGCTGTTTCTGTTGAAACTCAAAATATCACCTGGAATGTTGATGCAAACAGTGGATGCAGGGTGAAAAAAACATTGAACTGAGGAAAATACACCCAAGCAGAGCCCCTCCCAAGCCTGTCACCCAGGATGCCGAGACTCCCTCATCCCTTTTCACAAAGGTGACATTTGTAAAGAGCTCAAGGGCAGGTTTTTCCATGCTGATGGCTCAGCAGCTCTCCCTGTGCAGCAGCAATAACCAGGTTTCTCAAAGAGCCAGGTCAATGTAGAGGGGAGGTACAGTATTCTGTGGAAAAGTTGGGCCATTTAATGCAGTGCATGTCACAAGGAGATAAGCCACCCTATGAACCTGTGCTAGTAACATGTCCTCTTCGGTCCCTATGTGTGGTGAGATGCTGAGGTGTGTGTGCTGGCATTCTCCTCCCTGTCAGAATAAATAAATACTCCCCTGGGGCTGAAAGCAGGTCTACAAATAGCTAATGAGAGCTGAAATCCTAACCTGAAATTAACACACTGCTGGTTGAATGGGGTCGGGAAAGAATTTATTTTCTTTTTAATGTCTTTTAAATGTAACTGGCCTGCAGGGGGGCATCACCAAGTCTTTGTGGCTGACTCAGCTGTGTGAGAGCCTGTGGTCCCCAGCCCACCCCGCAGGCAGGGCTCCTCTCTGCCGTCACTTGTACCCAACCAGCAGCCTCCTCACAGCATCCTTTGTGAGAAACAGATCTGGGGAACAGGGGGCTGTATCATTCCGTGGGTAATTACCCCCCTTCAAGGAAGTTTGGAGAAGTGGAGGAGGTTTGTAATTGTGCCCGAGTTTGGCACGCAGCAGGCAGAGAGCAGCACCCGGCACGGCAGCGTGGGTATCCCGGCACAAAGCTCCTGACGTGTGTCTCAGCAGCTGTGGCGTGGCTTGGCAGATGCCTGTGGGACAAATGTAGGTGTCAAATGCTGGCCTCAAGCCTCCTCCTTACCATTTGCAGCAAGTTGTTCTACAACCTCCAAAACAGCTGCGTAAATCAGGGTACAACTGGGTAAATCTTGATTTGTATCAGCGTACCACAGAGTTCGTCACTTCTGTGTTGCTCCACGCGTGTCCTAGAGCAGTGACCAGCACCTGTAGCTTGTCCTGGGCCAGCCTCAGTCCCTGGTGATGAGATTTGGAGGCTCTGTCCTCCCAACAGCTTTTGTTTTGTTGTGGCAAGTGTGAGAGAGATGCTGCTGGTGTTTGAGGATGTTGTCCTATTAGCCTTGCCACCCTTTGTGGTTACAGTCATGGCAGGAGATATGAAAACCACAGAGTGTGGGCAGGATGCAGGCTTCTGGTGTGGAGCAGTAGGAAATGGGACCCTCTGATGAAAAAGGAAATGTATTGCTCTGTGTGTGAGTGTGAAAAATAAGTAAGGAATTGAGTCCAAAGGGGATTGATGCTTGCCCTGCTCATCTCACTTTTAACTACTGCTCTAAATGGATTATTTCCTCCCCAGAAATTAGGACTGGGAAGGGATGGCTACCAAGAGAGATCCTATAAGCAGTTCTAGGACTCTCTTACCTGAAGAGGTGACAAGCCAGATATGAACCTGAGATGGCAGAGATTTTCCTTAGAGAAGATTGGTTAGAGCTAAACAAATATTGACCAGCTGGTGACTGAAGCCATTACTGGGATTTTTGGACGAGGAAAGAGATTTGAAATGGATTCTGTGTAACTAAACTGTGGAAATCGTTGAGTTTTGCTCAAAAAAAGGCTTCTGTACATGTCATTAATTTCGAAGATACATTAAATCTGCTTCTTTAGTTACTGAGTTGCTTTAAAATGCAGATTAACCACTTGCCAAAATTATTTTCTTTTGCAGCCTGAATTTCAGTGGAGTCCATCTGGCATCTGCTGGGCAGTTTAGTGACTTCCTGGGGAGCATGGGCCCTGCACAGTTTGTTGGCCGTCAGACCTTGGCCACCACCTCCATGGGTAAGGAACACAAGGGAGTTGGGTGGCTTTAATTGAGTCTTGAGCAGACAGCTCCTACACACCCCCTAATAATGTGTCCAGCTTCTGCTGATCTAACCCTGTCCTGCTCCATTTCTCTGTTAAATCCAGTGAGCTTGGCTGAAAGGTTTTGCTGACTGCAGCAAATGTGGCATTAGGAGGAGAGCAGCAGCTTTGTGTTTTTCTCTCTCAGCTCTGAAAGGCATAGACTAAGTAAAATGCAGCTAAAATCCTGAAAATGGATCCTGTGGGGATTTTTATTTCTCTCTAAGGCCCACCAGGCTCTGTAAGAATTTTGTTGTGGTCCACCATAATTGCATTTTCCAAAGCAGCCTGTAGTCCTAGGTTCTTCTGTTTGGGAGAGATGAGAAGCTTGCTGCCACAAAGAGTAGGAGACTGAGCCACCAAAGTCTTTTTAGAGGGCTCCCAGTAAAGTTTGCTTTTGAAAATGTGTCCTAGAATCACCATGGAGCTGCTCCAGAGTAATACAGGAGGAAATCAGGGTGCATACAGTTTGTTACAGCTTGTGCAGGAAGGACATGAAGATTGTTTTTTAAACATTTTTGTAACCCAAGGATGTATTACTTTGAAAACCTTCTATATATTTTGACTTTTTGGTTTAGGGGATGTGGAAATTGGCTTGCAAGAGCGAAATGGGCAGCTTGAAGTGGATATCATTCAAGCTCGAGGACTGACACCAAAACCTGGCTCCAAAACACTGCCAGGTAGGATGCTTTGATCTCCTAAAGTACTTCCCTGAGTCCCAGCCTCCCACAATGCTTTTGAATAGGGAAAATTTGAATTTTCACTTAGTAGGACTAAGCAGCCTGTGTGTGGTACTGAAAACAAGGCTGCCTGGGCAAATCTTTTCCCTGCTGTAACTGCCTTTAGAAACACCTGAGACATGGCATTCCATCTTTTCTAAAGTGAGCATGAAGATTTTCTTCATATTTGAACATGTTTCTTTTTTCCAGCTGCTTACATCAAAGCTTATCTGCTAGAGAATGGCGTGTGCATTGCAAAAAAGAAGACAAAAGTGGCTCGCAAGTCATTAGACCCTTTGTACAATCAGGTGTTGCTGTTTGCTGAGAGTCCCCAGGGCAAAGTATTACAGGTAAGATGAGCAGGTCTCAGGTCTGCCCCTCTCTCTCTTCCACCTCTCATGGAAGGTACTAAGTTCTGTCATGCTGGTTAATTGACATAGATAGGAAAAGCCAAGGTTTTCATCAAGCCAAACGTGCTCAATCTGAATTTAACAAAGGGAAAGGAATCCCTTTTAGTTCATATCCAAGCTGATGATTTGTTGACACCGTGCCAGTTACCATGAGTGCCTACCAGGAAAGGACTGATTTTTAAATTTTTTAAATTCTTGTTTCCCCACCCAGTTAGGAGATGGGTGGTACCTATAGGTGCTAAATGATCTTGCAGCATGGGTTGCCTTCCATGTTTTTACACCACATTCAGGGCATTCTGCTTTGCCATCACCCAATCACATATCCTACCCTTTTCTACCTCTTTTCTGTTACTGCTGTATGTTTTCTGCCATACTCGTATTTTCAACTCTGCATCTATGTTTCCAGAGTAAAGAGTGATTTGCATTGTTAAATCATATAAAAATAACTTCCATCCAATAAAGCCTGGCTAAAATCTCTTTGTAGTACTAATGTAATTAATCCATGAGTTTCTACTGTTGACTTCCACTGGCATGTGAATTACCAGCTAATCTGCTGGACCCTTTTCTTTAGTGACTTCTTATTTACCTTGATTAGAAGCATTTTCCCCTGATGCAGCAAGACTGCACGTTTATGACTGAAATGGAATGGGACCCGGCTTGGTCTGCTCTTGCCTTGTGTGGGTTTCCTTACCCGCTGTCTGGCTGCCAGGAAAGGCACTTATTCCAAGAATAGATTGAGGAGTTTGGCTTTTTGCTGATGGCCATGTCACCAAATCCACTTTGCAGTGGCTTGTTCCATCTCCTGCTGGCCTAGCATGTGAATTTTTGGTTTTTGATTGACACTCATTGTCTCTCCTACCTCATTTTACAGAAAATTGTAGTGTTGTGGTTGTTAGGAGCCTAGGGAAAGAAGCTTTCAGGATTAGCCAGAGATCACTAACTGTCATCATAACCCATCCTACTCATCCTCTCCTCTTCAGAGCACGGACTCACTCTGCAGTCAGTCGTCACCTTTGTCTTGAGCCACACAGGGCCACCTGGCCACGTGCAGACCTCCAGCATGCCTAAGCCCATGACCCTCACTGCATCTGTTCTTCCACCCACTGGTCTCCATCGTGTCGTAAGTGTGATTCAGCTTTCCCTGCTCCTCTGCCAGCTCTTCCATTAGCCCTTCCTCTGTGTCTGTGAGCCGTTCTCGGCCGTCTGTGCTGCTTGTCCTGCATGTCACTCACGTGTGCTCCTCGTGTCGTGTCCCTGGCTCCTGCCCTTCCTCCAGGTGAGTGGCCATGCCTCGTCTCCATCTGCCCCGTGGCACAAGTTCCATGTGCAGAAGTTAAAATGCTCTTTCTCCTCAAACTGTTGGCTTTTGACCCGAGTTGTTGGCCAGCTTTTTTTGTTGGTTTATTTTTCCAGATCAGGAGCTCCTCCTGCCCTTCCCGCCCAGGCCACCTTTTGGTGTTGTATGCCAGGATCAGATTTTACCTGTAGGTGTTGGACTGCAGCCCTGAGGATACTTTTGTGCAGGTGCTGCCCCTGCCCCACAGAATGGTGTCTTATGCACATGCACATTCACCTCTTTTCCATGGGGGGAAAAAAATCCGATAACATTAGGATTTGTAAACATGTGCTTAAAATAAAAAAGTAATGTCATCAGCCAGAGCTTAACGTCACCTGTTAGTAGAGTAAATAATTCTAGTCTTCTCAGGCTGTAGTTGGATGAATAGAAGGATTGGTCAGACTTGTGCTTCCCGAGGAAGTGTGGAAGTTGGAGGATTAACTGTGCTCCCCGTTCTTGTCCCTAAGGTGATAGTCTGGGGAAACTATGGACGCATGGAGCGCAAGCACTTCATGGGAGTCGCCAGGGTTCTCCTGGAAGAACTGGATTTGTCGACTTTAGCAATCGGCTGGTACAAGCTCTTCCCAACTTCCTCGATGGTAGATCCCACTACAGGCCCGCTCCTGCGCCAGTCCTCACAGCTTTCCCTGGAGAGCACAGTGGGACCCTGCTGTGACAGGTCTTAGTGAGTAAGGAAGGGGGAACTGCTTTTGTTTTTTAAACATGCTGTCAAGGTTTTGTTTGCTGGAACTCTGACCTCAAGCGCAATGCATGTTCAATCAGTTCTTGTGGAGCTGGAAGAGGAGGATAAACCAGTGACCTTAGACAGAAGACGAGGGGGAGGGCACTGTGCCCTCTCCGTCCGAGGAGGAGGTGCCATGGGGCATGAGTCCTAGTTGTCAAATTAGACATACACCTCTTGTTTCACTTCTCTCGCTGTCATTCTTGGACCCTTGTTTCAGATCAGTATTAACCCTGGAAAGTTGCAGCATTCGAAAGAATTTGGAGGGAGTAAGGAATGAATTTCTCTTAAATGTGCATCTTGGAAATTTTAAATATGAGTTCTTTCACAAGAAAGTACCTGAAAAATTTAGAGGTCATCATGTGGGCTAAAAAGAGCAGGAACAGAAAGTTTAAGAGGAAGCATTAGGTCTTTTTATAATGTCTTTCTTTCTGAGAGGAAGTAGAAGAAACAAACCTGCAACTCTTTCTTTAGAATCAGTTCCCTGTCACTGAGTCATGTTAGCTGTAACACTGTCGTCGCTGTGTTTTCAAACTGTGCCAAATTACCAGCAAGTGTCTTTACTGCATTACGTGTCTAACACTGCTGATGAAGCATATTTGGTGGGAGAACAAGTAGCGCCTACTTAGAGCAGACAGTTTAAACAGAGTTCGAGTTTAGCAGGCTAATTAACCACAATTTTGCTCAGAAAAAAACCCCAAAACACTAAAAGTGGGAGCTGAACATCACACTTGCAGCTTGAGGTGTTTTGTATTGTCAGATAAGACATTCTGCAACTTGCTGACTCCCTTACTTGTTGCTGTGCATCCTTCAGTCATGATGTCTTCTATCTCCTGCTTTTTTCCTTCATCTCCTTGATGCTGGTACATATCTGCTGGAGATGCTGCCCTTCCTTCCCAGACCTGAAGCAGGACTGTTTTATTCTGCCATAGGAGAGGAAATGGGGGGTTCTGGGGGTGCAGGAGAAAGTTTGCCATCTGAGAAGAAGGTTCTGGAGAGCCCATAACCTTCCTTGTGGAGAGAGGGCAGCTCTAGGCAGTCTTGGTACTACACAGACATTGTCAAGTGTCCTGCAAGAGGAGATGTGATCCCCAAAGTACAGAGAGGTAGTGAGAGAGGAACGTGATGACACAGTGGTCACAGAACGTGTGTTGTGTTCTTTAAATGAGTAAAGCACATTTGCTGAGCTGCGGCAGCTGCTGCAGCAGAGCCACGTGCTGGATACTTCAGACAAATAAATTAGCCAGAATCACAGAGAATCTCCGAAGATTTTCTGTTGATAGCTCTGTTTTGGCTAGGTTTTGTCTTAGTTCCTGAATGAGGATTTGATGACTGCTGTCCCAGAATAAACTTTTGGAGATGTTTTACTTTGTGGTTTAAAAGTGAAGGTCCCATGTCCCATGTAGGAATGGACAGATTCTTGACCTGTCATAGGGAAATACTGAGCATTTATTTCTGCATGTGGACCTCAGCTTTTTTAGAGTAAAAGCATGAGTGTTGAGTGGATGGTAAAAGCAGTTGCTTTTGGTCCTAGCTTGTCTATGGCATTTTAAATTATTTTGAGATAAATTACAGGATAGAGGAAAAAATTATATAGGCCTTACAATAATCTGTAAAAAATTATATAATATAAAGGAGAGGGAAGGAGGATAAGGGACATAGAATGACTAGTTTTTTGAGTCTTCAGTGGCAAAAGCTTCAACATTTCAGATATATCTCTTAATTTCCTTGATCAAATATGTCTCTGGCCTCTCACTAATTATTTTTTCTAATCGTATTAGACAATTTCTATATATTAGCTAAAGACAGTTTGTTGCATGCTGGTCAAACTATGTTGTGGCGCTCTCTCTTTTATTTTTATTTTTTAAAAAGAAGCACATTTACTGTAATTCAAGTCGGCATCTTTTCCTCTTGGTATGTAGTGAGTACTAGGCAATATTGTACAATATGTGTATGAACTAGAATAGATTAGGTAGATTTAGTGGTTTGTAGCACTGGATCTTTTAATAATTACGACTTTAAAAGGACTGTGGGGAGCTCCAGGTACATGCCAGACTTGGCAACAGAGCTTGTGTCTTAAGTTATGCCAAAAGCTTTGTATTGATACTTAGTTTGAACATTATCTACCAGTAAGAGCTAAGTTAATCCTGAGTTTCCTATGTCCAGTAAGATGAATGCAGCATTTCTGCAGTTTTTAATGGGGAGTAGGAGACTATATATGCCAAAAATATTTCCCCAGAAAACTTTGTTTAACGACTGTCTGTCAAAAAGCTCAGTTCCTGTGTGCCTGGCAGATGCAATGTGTCTCCACTTCCTGCCCCTCTGAAAGCTCTGCAGGCTCAGTGATGACCAATTTAGTTAGCACAGGACTCCTTCACACCGAGGACTATCTTCCGTCTGGTTTTAATCATGCTGAAAGGTCACTGTCAGGGTAAAATAAAGAAGTTATGGTTCTAGTTATGTTAGTTTTGTTAACATCTCCAATTCTGTAATTTGGAGGCAGTTTCACAGTCTGCTCCATCCTATTTTCTTCTGCATTTTTTACATGGTTGATTGTGGTCCAGTGCTTCTCGCTTTTGTTTTACTGACTCCAAGTCCTGTTTCTCCCCAGTAAGTGAACACTGCAATCTCTGGCTGCCAAGCACAGCACAGTCACATGAACTGGCGAGTGCAGGTGACCTTCCTTCCTAAAGCAGACTCACAGGAGCCCTTCTGTGAGTGCCCACGGGACACAGAGTGAGGCCAGGGGAGTTGCATGCTACCCTACAGCTGAAATTCTTGCCACACTCATACACATGATTCCTGCACTGGCCATGGTGTGTTGTAGTCAAAAAAGAACTCTTCTATTGCCCGTCAATTTAAGACTCCCAGTGTAGGATCCAGGACAAGTCTCAGACTTGGAATAACCTATTTTTATCAAGCTTAACCCACTTTTCCTCAAAAAATTTGGCTGGCTAGTTTCTGTCTAAGGTGATGTGATGTGAGAGTTGGGATTACCTGTGTGGTCGTGTATGAAGCAGCATTTCCCATAGTGATGAGCAGCTGAAAGCTGAACTTTTGTCCCCTTCACAAGTCCTGGCTGAGTCTTTTTCTGTGCCTGAGTCTTGCTGTTGGTTACAGTCAGGGAGGGAGAGAGGAAGAGCAGGAGACTTAAATAAAAGAAAAAAAAAAGGTGTCAGACTATTTTTTGGTTATGAAACTGAGGAGAGATAAATATCTGCCCAACTCAGGGTTGATTCTCGTTCCTGGTGCATGAACTGCTACATTGTAAAGGTAGTGGGAGCATTGCTGGCCAAAAAACCCATGGAGAGCCAATCCCTAAATGTTACCTGCATTATGGGAAACAAAGAAATCCTGATGCTGAGAGCAGAATGCTCTCTCCCCAGTGAGAGTTCCCTGCACACAGGGAGAGCAGCCTCGCACCTGGCTTTGTCCTCTTCGTACTCTGAGCAAAAAGCAGCTGTGACCGTGGTTGCTCCTGATTTGTTCAGGCAAAAAAATAGGATATTTTCCCAGTCTCCTGGTGTTTCTTTCCCTTTGCCCCAACACAGCTGGGATGGGCAAGGTCCTCACTCTGCAATTCAATCCATGGGTCGTCATCCTGGAGCTGCTGGAGCATCCCTTTGCACTGCAGGCACTGTGGGTAGGGTAAGGGCCAGAATTTCTTGGCCATGGATTGTTTCAAAGGACATTGCAGAATTATTTGCTTTGAATGAAAATATATATTTATTGTTCCTAGCTACCAGATCCTTTATCATTGTACTGTTCTAAATTTGCAGGTGTTCTGGAATATGAATATCACAAGTTCCTGTAAAGGAGCTGTTTTTAACATGTTGAAGCAGTTAATAGAATCTCAACCTAAGCATGTTTAGTAATGTTTAGACAGCAAGACAACTTTTTTATGAAACTCATTTTAAGTTAGTTTATTACATGCTGTTGGTAATATTTTAAAACAGGAAAAATATTTTTCTTTAAAGACAAAATGATATGTATGTTTTTTAACAGGTAACATAATTTAGTGTTTTCAAAAATGTTTGATGTTCTTGGTATGAAGTTTACTCATTCTTTTGATTTCTATGTTCCTTGTTATATTTTATCAACTTTTTTCCAAAAGAAAAGAGGCATATGTAAATAAACACCAGAAAAGAGTCCTATAAGAAATTCTGTTCAAACTGGCCATAAAATTATTAGTAAATATTTGTTATTGTTCACTAACTCTCAGCTACTTTGTTGAAAGAATCGATGTTGTATTTTCAAGATGAGAACTACTTAGCTAGTTTTGTCATAATCCTGTACTCTGTATAAAAATCTTTTTATAAACAAAGTCTAATAGGCTACCAAGCAATAATATATTCCATTGGGTGTGCACAGATTGTGACTTGCAGGCTGTAGTACATATTGTTGATACAGTTTATAATTGTCTTCAATCTCAACAACATCACTTTTTCAAAAGATCCATATTAACTTTGATTGTAAAAAACACAGACTGGGCTGTTGCCCTGTGAGATATATTCATCCTATAGACTTCTCTGTGAGTGTCTGTGCCCATCTACATGAGATCTCTCTTAGGTGAAGAAAGAAACAGCTGTAGGTGACTTCATACTACAGAGGTAAAAAATAGTTTCAGTATAAACTTCATGACTGTTTCAATCTCCTGTTTTTCTTAGGCTATCTAGTATTTGTAACTTGACGAGAATGGTTCCCACTGCCATTGTAAACCTGATAAAGCAAAAAAGCCTTTGCACTCTGGGGCCACTTGAGTTCTGCCTGACAGCTGCCTATTTTCCTTGAGATACTTGGGGCAGGCTAAAGGGAAGGGTTTTTTCAGAGCAGCAGCTTGGGCTGCTCTTCTTTAAATGCTCTGTGGGTTATTTTGTCCATTTCAGAAGTGGTATTTGTCCATATTTTTAGAAAATTCCACCCAAGGCAGAGAGGTTGCACCTTTGCAGGGGATCACGGGGGACCAAGGTGTAAAATAGGCACAGGCTGTTCTGTGCTTTTCTTCAGAAATTTGCTAGTGCTGGGCTCTTTGATTTTTCCAAAGTGGCAGGGTCAGGATACTGGATTTTAAGTCAGCTCCATCACTGATGCAGTACATAGAATAAAAGAGCTTCAAAACAGCATCCCAGTCCATTGCCTGTGGATTCCTCCCAGCATTTCCCATAGGACAAGTGTCTATGTTGTTCTCAAGATTGCCAGGCTGCTGGCTGTGCAGGCAGCAGGTCTTAGTGGTGCTGGGAGCCCCAAGGAACGCTGGAAGAATTCCTGTTTTTTGTGAAATGCTTTGAAGAGAGAGGTGTAAATGCAAAGTGCCATCAGTAGAGGAGTCCAAGGTTTATTGTGACCTGGAGGGAGCATCTAAAATGAAACTGCAGCTGCCGGTTTTCAGCCAAGCATTTAGAAAAGAGGATGATCAGTGAAAAGAGAATGATCAGTGAAAGGCATCTTGTGTTTCCCCAGTGAACACTAGCCAAGGTGTGTCTGTGAACACGGTAATTCCACAGGGAGTTTGCAGGTGATTAGGGGTTCTCAAAATGTGGCTTCAACTCTCACTGCCAGACTCTTCTGCTCAGTGGCCACGTCCCAGTGACCAAGCAGCCTCACGTCCCTCCCCAGCTGCTCACCCACGACAGCAGCATCACACTCATCCCTGGGGAACCTCAAGCTCTTCCCACAGTACAGGCACCCTCTGCCCTCCCTTCCCCGTGGTAGCTGCTCTTATCCTGGTGGAGGAGAGGAACCAGGGAGAATTTCTTTGTAGCATTTGGTTCTTTGCACTTTCGTGGCCGAAACAGAAGGACCCTGCACCATTCCTTTCCAGAGCACCAGCAAACAGAGGTGATGAACCAAGGACTTTCCCTTTGTGACTTTCCATAGCTAAAATGGCAGCCAAAGCAGTATTGTTAATCCCAGCTTGGCCAGGTCCATGGACAGCCTTGGCATGTACTCTGGGCATGTTCCATGGGCTGAGCCCCCTGTGTAGGGCCAGGGAAGGGCTGTGTCTGGCAGAGAGGCCATGTGGGCACATACTGTGCCCAGGCAGCCGTGAGCTCCATTCACTGAGCCATGGTGGGAGCAGAACCAACCAAGGGAATGATTGAGGCATACCTTGCTGAAGCCAATCCCACAAGCTTTGCATGAGATGTTTTTTCTAGTTGCTTGGGCACCAAATGTTAGGATATCTGCCCACTGAGATCCAGGTCCCAATAAATGCCAGCCTGGAGCTTCAAATCCTTCAGCAGTTTTTTCCTTTGGGGCTCCTGATCAGTGCTGCACACTAGTCTGTATTTTTGGTGATTCCATCTTCTTGATCTGGAGCTGGTTTTGACTTTGGAGCCAGGGCAAATGAGGTTTGGAGGGTGAATCTTAAGGCATATTTCCCTAGCCTCACCACACTGGGATTGTCTTACTCCCAGTCCCTGCAAGCTGCTCCCTGCACGGTGCAAGGGCATCCTGGGGATGCAGTGCCTCCCCTGACAGCCCCTCACACAGCACTGCCATGGCCTGCCACCCGCCAGGGATGCCCGTGTCCTGCCAACGTTTTGTACCAGTCCCACATTCAAACTCCTCCCTTTCCCATCCTTGGAAGGAGCCAGGGCACTTCTGCAGGGGCTTGGCAGCCCAGGCAGGCAGGATGTGCCATTACTGACAGCCAGGAGAAGACAGGGAGCTGCCTCTGAGCTGGCCAGGGAGAAGGGGAGCTCCCAGCGAGCTTTCCTCTGCCTTCCCTTTGCTTTCCCCAGCACCCTCTGCTCCCTTCGTGGGTCCCCACTTCCCTCTGGACACGAGGCCTTATTCCAGCCCCTGGGGACTGAGGCTGCCCACGGCATCTCTGAGCACTGACCATCCATCCCTGCTGCCCGCAGGGAGCCCCGGGGCGGTGCGGCAGAGCTGGCCTCTGCTCGGGGACAGGGCCACCCCAGCCCATCCCTGCTCCCACCCCACTCTGCCACCGTGCTGCAGCTCTGCCTCGTTCCCCACTGCCAGGGCCTGGCCACTGTAGGGAAATCTGCTTTTCACAGGTTAAAACCCTTTAACTTCATTAATTGCTCCACAAATCCCAGTAATCTTGCAGGCGCACTACAACACTCCTCTTGCTTTTCCCTAGGAGTGGGGGCAGCTCAGATCTGCTTTTTTTTGGCCTCTGTAACCCTCTCCAAAACTTTCTGGAGGTTTTTAACATCATTTGGTGAGATGTAATCTCTGTGGAGCCAGAGGGAGCACAGGCAATGGAGCTGGGCAGCCTGCTTGCCCAGGTGGCGAGTGGCTCGTGAGGTGCCTGGGCTGCCTTGGGTGGAAGGTGGGACACGGTCCCGGCAGCGCCGGTGGGACACCGGCCACTCGTCTGTAGTCAGGAGAGGATTCTGCTATACTTTTTTCCTGTCTGTAGGTTTTATTCAGACAATATGTAATGATTGAGTGATTTACAATTCAGTGTTAAGCTAATGAAAACGTTGATAATGGTGATAATAAAACCTTTTTTTTTTTCCTACGGTGTGTTGGAGATTTTCTGTGGAGTGTCTCTGCCCTCTCTGTTGCCACAACTATTATCTTCAACCTAGGATTTCAGCTGCACCCTTCCTTCTCCTTGTGCCTGTAGAGAATGAGAGCAGCTCAGCCTGGTGTGTCACAGTGCTCCGTGGAAGGGCTGTCACCCCAGCTCCCTCAATCAGCCCCAGCTTCAAACCTACATTTCCCTGAGCCACTGCTGGATGTAATTTGGCCGTGGGCATTTCCAGGCACAGAGTTAAGCTTGCTCCCACTTGTTCTCTGCTCACCACCCCAGTCTAAAGCTCCTGCTGTTTTCTTTCCAAGATCCTTCATGTTCAGCCCTGGCCATTCAAGGGTGATTTTGAGACACTGGAGATGAAGATTCTACTGGCAGAAAACACCCCTGGCCCAGGCTGTTGGGAACATCCAGTGTGGGGGCAGGGGAGTGTGGGGACCCTCAGATGTTACTGAGTGTGCAGCTGCTGCCTCGATCACCTGGAGCCGTGAGCCCTTGGGAGGGAATGTTGGGGGGATCCTCCTGGAGGGGTCTGTGGAAGAGATGGTGGTGCTGAGAATAGGCACCATTCTCTGGAGAGCTACTGCAAGTCCTTTTCTTGTGACAATGAGGGATCAAAAAGTCATAGTTCACTAAGAATTTCTTAAAAGGTATTCATCATACTTCCAAATCCCTCTGCAGGTCATCAGGGTGAGACCAAGGGGCAGCTTCCCACCTGCCCCAGCTACAGCTCCTGGGGGAGCAGTGATGGAAGGGGGAGGAGGAGGGAGGAGGGTTTCTCTGGAGTGTCCGGGGGCCGCCCAGCATCTCCCACCCTCGGACCACCACCAGCTTCCCTAGCAGGATGGGACTCAGGCTGTCACTCAGCAGCCAAGCAGTGCTGACTGGAAGCTCAGGCCACATGGAAGCAGCAGCAACCAGAGCAGGTGCCCAACTTTCTGCACTGTCACCAACTTTCTGTCACCCCATCACCAGCGCTGCCCTCCAGGGTGTGGAGGTCACACCCCCAGCCCTGCTGCCTCTGCCAGGCTGTGCCTTTGCGTGGCTGCATCGTGGGCTCTGTGACACAACCACAGAGCCACTGAGCTTGGACAGTGCCGTGCTGAATCCAGAGGGACAGTGCAAGGCTGGCTCAGCCTCTGCATTGAGGTTTTCTCCTGCTTCCAGCTCCACCACAGATGGATTTCACAGGGTAAGACCATGCAGGTCTGACTTGAGCAGGAATTGAAGATCTGCTTCTTTCCACAATGGTGGATGAGAGTGAGAAGTGCCACTGGAGGATGTCCAAGGCTCAATGTGGAAACAGGGAGAGATTTCCAGCTGCTCAGCTCTGATGGCAAAGGGCAGGGCAGCCCAGCACAGCCAAACCTTTGGCTGAAATCCATGGGGAGGGTGGGGGAGATGGGACATGGCAACAAAAGGGCTGAGCTGGTGGGATCAGCCTGAAGTGACACACTGAGGAGCTGAGAAGCCAATGAAAGCCTCATTTTTAAGCCTGCTTTCCACGCTCACAGCTTGGTTTGTTTCTCCACCTCCTCCCCCTTTCTCTTGAAACCAAGGCTCACCCAGCTGGTGCAGATCTGGGCCCACTGGTGCAGAGCTGGACCTCCCAGCCCCTGGAATGTCACACGCCCCAAAGGGCTTGGGGAGCACCCAGGTGAAGGTGTCACAAACCTGGTGGCAGCCCAGCAGCACCTGCATCCTCCTCTCTTCCTGCATGCCCAGGCTGTGCAGCCTGCCCACAGGGAGCCAGCCTGGGGTCAGGGGCTTGGACACATCCCTTTGCTCTTCCTTGTGACAAATAATAAACCACCACCAGATGGATTCACCTTTTATTAAGCTGCCACCCAGAACAAAAGGAGGAGAGAGCAAAGCCTGCCCTGAGACCTTTCCAATGCTGGCAACTCTGCATGCCTTCCCCACCAGGAAAAGGGGCTATTTCTCCACAAAAACCCCCTCAGAGGGTATTTTAGATAGAATTGAGAGTGAAAATGTCCCTTACTGGAGAAAAAAAAAATAGAGTTCCTACCACTGTCAGAGCCCTGCTTTCATGCAGATGAGACAGGATGGACAAAGGCTACGCTGTGGTCATCAGCTGGAAAGAGCCGCCCAGGTACAACATCCCACATGGGGATGAATGTGGATGGAACACCCCCCCCTCAGATAACCCCAGCAGCAACAAGCACAAACCCATGGGCTCACAGGGACTGGGAGGAACCAGCACAGCTGCTGTGCTGCCAGCTGGAGGAAGGGTGGGGAAGGAAGAGGTGGTTTGAGCTAAGAAAAAAACCAATCTCCTTAGAACCAAGCCCTTTGCAGGTGACTGTGTTGTTCAGGAAGGCTCTCCATGGGGCTGCCCTTAGTACAGTCTGGGCTCAGCACAGACGAGAGCTGGGGCTGGACTGGGCTGGAGGAGTTCAGCTTCCCCTGGGAATGGGGCACTGTCCCTCCAGCCATTTCAGCCAGGAGGACCTACCTGTGGTGGTGAGGTATAAGAGGCAAGGTGTGCTGGTGGGCAAGTGGGTGAATGCATGGGCCTCCAGCTTCCAAAAGCACTGAGCCAGCCACAAACCCGAGCTCAGACCCAGAGGGCTGCTCACAGGAGATGAAGTTCCCCCATGAAGTTCCCCTGTGTGCTGAGCTCCAGGACTGCAGCCCATTCCCTCCTGCCCACCTCTCCCTGCCCACCCACCAGCTGCAAACCTACTGTGTGGCATAACTTACCTGCACCTGCTGACAGGGGACAACTTAAAGGTCCCCAGCCCTGCAAGGCTTGCTCACACACTCAGCAAATGCAACCCAGCCCATGGAGAAAGAGTCATGTGCTGGCAGCAGCCACAGCCAAGGCTCAACAGGGTTGGAGGGCAGCAATGCACCTTTTGGGGAGCTGGGAGGTGGGAGAGCAAACCTACAGCTCACTGGGCTTCACACTGGGGCGAGGGGGAAGCTCTTGCAGTCCTAAATGCTTGAACTTGGGAGGAAAAAGCAAAGAAAAAGAAACAATGTCATTCAATGCCTGCAAAAAAAAAAAAAATCATTGTTTCCCAACAAGATTTAGAGGCTCCTGCTGGGGGGAGGGAGAGGAACAGAAGAAATGAGTAAGAAGAACCTGCCATCTCTGTTCTTAATTTATCATCGCAGTGAGACTCGAGCTCTGAATGCAGCTGGGCACGCTCTCCTAGATGGATTTCCTCCGCAGCCGGGGGTGCTGCCGGCAGCGAGGGCTGTTGGAAGACAAAGTGCTCCCCGGGGAAGAGCCGGTCTGACCCCGTGTGCTCAGGGACACCTCGTCGATTTTGTAGGAAATGGAGTTGTAATACACAGGGTTGGTGTGGCAGCTCAGGGTCTCGGGGTGGGAGGGCACGGGGCTGCCACACACCTGCGGTCTGTAGCACAGGCAGGTGCAGAAGGACGGCACCGCGGCCGCCGACGTGGCCGACTGGCGCCGCTGCCTCTCTGTGTCCTCCTGGACCAGCGGGATCAGGTTCATCTGGCTCGTCCTGTCCTCCGCAGGGAGAAAAATGGCATTGCTGCTGCGGCTGTCCTCCTTTGGCTTGAGGTGGATGTTGTTGCGGGCTCTCCTCAGCGAGGCTCGCTCCTCGGCGTCCCGCCGCTCGTCCTCCGAGTTCATGGTCAGGAACCGCAGCACCACCAGGTTGAGGAAGGCGCCGATGACGGTCAGGCCCACCAGGATGTACATGAAGCTGAAAGCCACGTACGGGGGCTTCTTCTGCAAAGCCTCGTTCTTCTGCAGAGCCACAAAGTCTCCAAAGCCAATAGTGGTCAAGGTTATGAAGCAGTAGTAATAGGCATGGAAGAAAGTCCAGCCCTCGAAGTAAGAGAAGGCTGCGGCGCCGATGCACAGGGTGCCCATGCAGGACAGAAAACCCACCAGGACCATGTTCTCCATGGAGACATGGGTTGTCCTCATGCCCAGACACTTCTTGATCTTCTTGAGCAGTAGCCTCACGACGGTGTTCATGCGCTCCCCCAGGCTCTGGAACATGACCAGTGTCAGGGGGATGCCCAGGATGGCGTAGAACATGCAGAAGACTTTGCCAGCGTCTGTGCCAGGAGCAGCATGCCCATAACCTGTGAAGGACACAGGAGGGAGGAAAGGTGGTGACAAGCCCTCACTGGGGTTTCCAGCGAGGCTGCCCTGTGACCAAGAGGAACAGTAGAAAAATGGGGGGAAGAATGGAAAATTATTCAACAACAGATCTGTAGGCAATGCTAATGGGGTCATGGGATGCCCATCCTTTGGGATGATGGCACGTTGAAGTATCATGTAGGCAGAACCTCATTTGACCTCTAAAGAGAGAAGGTACCCTCCTGATAGCCCCCAATGTCACAGAGGCCAAGAGGAGGCCTAGAGCTGGACTGGGGTCTGCAAGCTCCTGCAGCTCACCAGTAATTCAGAGGCCATGATGCTGTGCTAGTGCCAGGTGTGCAGGGTAACCTGAACCCCACAGCGAGGGGGAACATAGGCGCTGCAAAATGCTGAGACCAGCAGCATCAGATCACCCTGTGGGGAGGTACACACCCAGCCAGGACCATCCACAACTGCCCTTGCAGGGGCATTGCCAACTCCCCTGTCACCTGCTCCTCCTCCTCCTCCCAAGCCATCCAGTGTCACATGTACATTTGAGTCTCAGCTCTATGAGCACTTGCTCTGTGGCCTGTTGGACAGGAGCCACAGTGACCCTGCAACCCTGTGCTGTAGGGACAGTCCCCACAGGAGCAGCTGAGTCTGCAGACCCACTCCATATTTACTGCAGTGTCACTAATACTCAGATGTAAAGCACCACTGGGCTGTTGGGAAGGAGGGGCCGTGCTGTTTTAGATGCAGGGTAGGGAGCATTTATGCCACCACAGCCCTGTCAGCCTTTTTCCTGGGGACAAGGAGCTCCAGGAGGACAAGGTTCTCCTTGAACGCCTTCTGAGATTTAATTTCTCCACCTTGGCCCAAGTTTCAGGGCTGTGACTCAAGGACACACACAATTACACTGTGAGGTATAGAGGTGTTCACTGCAATCTTCCGGACTCCAGCGATTCTGTGCCCACCTCAATTACAGCAGCTTAGCAGAAATCAGTGGCCCCTGACCTCAGAGGATGAGTAACAAACTCAGTGCAAGGGAGTCATGTGGCGTGGGGAGTAATGGCATCCAAAGGCATCCAAAGGCATCTGAGCCTTTCTTTTGAGTTGCTTTTACAAGAAGCTACCAGGGCCTGAAACTTCCCTTCTGAAGGTGCCTGCAGAACAATGCCAGCTCCCTCCTGCACTGCTACCAGGCCTTTCACAAACAGCTATTTGTATTTTCACTTTCTGCAGGAATTTGCCTGACTTTTGCATGGAGAACATGGGGGAAAACACCCTCTTGTTACCCCACAGTCTTGTTCTAAACTGTGACTTGGCTTCACCTCAGTCCTTGCTGCCCGTGGATTTCCAGGATGCTTGGGGAAGGTGCTGCACCCAGTGATGGAAGGACCAGAGGAGGATAACCATGTTATCCTGGGCTCCTGAGCACACCTCCTGTTCCAGGAAACTCCTGCATGGGACAGAGCTGGGGGGCTGAGGATGGCATTTTTCTTCACTGTGCTGTGCTCTGAACTGCAAGCAGGCAGTGGGACCAGCTTCTAATTGCTTTCTCTGTTCACAAATTCACACAACAAAAATGATGAATTTAATGCCTGCATACCACATTTCATGAAATAGAGAGCAGACAGGATTCTGCAGTGACAAAACCTTTCAGTCAGATCCAAGCTTAATAACCAAGTGCAATCACCAGGTCCCAGGCTACAAGATAATACAATGACAGCAATGAGGATGTAAAGATAATGATCCAGAAGAGCAGCAAGTGGAAAAACAATTGTTATACCCTGAGAGACTGTTGAAGGAGTGCTTGACTGATGGTTTCGAAATGACAAAGGGAATTGGAAAGAGTAAACACAGCGACAGTAACATTAAAACTGAGATTTGGAGCATAGCCCAATATAAAGAGATCTAACATGTCAGTGTTTGAGAAATATGGCACCTGGGCTGAAATTATTTATCATAGGGGGTGTGTGATAAGCACAGCCATTGTTTGTCACAGCCAACAGGAAAATCATGTAAATGAAGCTATAACCTGTCAGGTGATGATGGGGATTTTTGCTGAAGCCATTTATCTTTTCCTTCTGCTGAGATCTGACCCAAACCGTGTCCTGAGCCCGCAGTGGTTTGCTGACCATGTGTGTGTTCCCAACTGCACAAACCCCACACTCCATCCCATGGGAGAACATGGAGACCCCAGGCAAAGCCTGTCCCTCTTCCACATCTTGTTCTCTGGTAACAAAGTGCAGTTGATCCCACCAACCCTTGTCCTGAGGGATGATGCTTCCAGCTACCAGAGGTATTTCAACCATTCCAAGCCCTTTGGTAAGGCTAAAGTCCTGTCCTGAAGAACAGGAGGCAGCTGCTACCTGTGCCAGGGCAGGATTTGGCCTCAGGATTCCTCCAAAACACATCTGCTGACTGAAATCCCAGCACAAGCAGTGACACAAGCACAGGATCCCTGTGGACACCCATGGGATGCCAAGGGTGCATGGATTAATCAAAGCAGATTAATTAAACAATGCTCAGGTCCCACGTGGCTAATCTCACCTAAATTAAGGCAACCCTCATTCAATTTAGTTTCATTCTCTCGCAAAATTGAAGCGGACAAACCAAGGCACTGGGCTCTGGTATGGATAAATGGGTCTACGGGGGAGTTTAATGTTATTCAGTCACTCCCCTCCAAGCAGGCACCCATGTCTCTGCAGGCTCCTGTGCAGGCAGAGCAGCGGGCAGTGGCTTGCAGCGCTCTGGCTCCGTGAAGCAGGTCTCAGACAACCAAACGCCCAGAGTTTTGAGCCAGAAAAGAAGCGAATAATTCCTGCCCAGCTCTTTACCCAGCTCTTCACCCAGCTCACTGGATACAGCCAGCACAGGGGACAGACATGGCCCCAACCTCTGCCCTCCCACACCGCTGCCAACTTTGGCCGCTGCCTGCTCCAAAGGTTCCCGCAGAAGCTCTGCAAGCTGCTGCCTCCCTGGGACAATACCGTGTCTTGCGGGCCCAGCCATAGCAGCACCCTCAGGACAGGGTGGCCCCAGCCTGCTCGTGGGTTTCCTCGCCCCACACTGGGCAGTCGGGTCACACGGAGTCAGCTCGGGAGTGGCCTGAAGAGATGTCCCAGCCTTGCAAGGGTGACACCTGCCTGTGCCATGCAGGGACCCCCCAGACTATCGTGGAGCTCCTAGTGGTACTGGAGGTGTGAGGCTGCAGAAGGATGGGGTGCAGGGACATGGAGATGGAGGCACATGGGATGCAGGGGCGTGGGGATGGAGGGGCACGGGAGGCAGGGATGGAGACACGCGGGGTGTAGGGAGGTTGGGTGGAGGGGCACGGGGTGCAGAGGTTTAGGGATGGAGGGATGCCGGGCGCGCCGGCCGGGCTGCCCGCACTCACCGATGGTGGTGATGACGGTGATGGCGAAGTAGAAGGAGCCGGCGAACTTCCACTGGCGACCGGCGCGGTGCGGCTCGGCCTGCAGCACCAGCCGCTCCAGCTCCCGGTAATCGTCGGCGGAGAAGCGGTACTTCCTCCGCAGCTCCCCGCGCTTCTGCTCCAGCAGCCGCTTGCGGCCGCTCTCCGCCTCCGACTCCAGCGCATCGAAGACCGCGGCGCCCACCAGCAGGTAGGAGAAGATGCAGAGGATGAGCGCGGCCGTGCGCAGGTTCTGCCGCTTCATGGCGAGGGGCGGCCGCCGCGCTCAGCCCGGGCTCCGCATGGCCCCGCCGCCGCCGCCCCCCGCCCGCCCCCCGCGCACCCCCGCGACCGCGCCCCGCCCCCCGCGCACCGCCCGCGCACCGCGACCGAACCCGCGCACCCTGCACCGCCCCCCGCGCACCGCCCGCGCACCGCGACCGAACCCGCGCACCCTGCACCGCCCCCCGCGCACCGCCCGCGCACCGCGCACGGCTCACCCCGCACCGAGCCCGGGCACCCCGCACCGAGCCCGGGCACCCCGCACCGAGCACCGCTCACCCCGCACCGAGCACCGCTCACCCCACACCGAGCCCGGGCACCCCGCACCGAGCTCGACTCACCCCGCACCGCTCACCCCGCACCGAACCCGGGCACCCCGCACCGCTCACCCCGCACCGAGCCCGGGCACCCCGCACCGAGCCCGGGCACCCCGCACCGAGCTCGACTCACCCCGCACCGCTCACCCCGCACGGCTCACCCCGCACCGAGCCCGGGCACTCCGCACCGAGCACCGCTCACCCCGCACCGAGCTCGGGCACCGGGCAGCGCCTCCTGCCTGCCCCGGGCACCGGCTCCTGCGGACTCCGGCTCGCATGCACACTTAGGCTGGCTCCGGTGCCCCGAGCCCTTCCTGCCTGGCAGCCCCGGGCCGTGCCCGGCTGCAGGGGAGCCCTAGCGAGGCTGCGCTTCATTCTCGTGCTTGTTTTAATAGCCCCGTTCCCTGAAGTTGCCTCTGGATGATCCCAGGCTGGAGGAGTTTCTCGTGCCTTACACTCTCTCCGCCTGCCCTCCCTCAAGCAGGGGCCTTTGGGGCCGTGTGGCTGTCCCGAAGTACCGGTGGATCATCCCTGCGCGGGCAGCGCTCACTCCTGCTGCTCTGCCCAGTCCTGGGCCGCTGCACACCCATGGCACTGAGGAACACTGCCACTACGGTGTTACCTGTGTAATCTGTTTGTGTCACCTGTGCAATCTGTGTTATCTATCTGTGCTGCCTGTGTTATATGTGTTGTCTGTGTTATCTCTCTGTGTTAGCTCTGTTCCCAGTGTTAGCTGTGTTATCTGCATTATCTGTGTCACCAGTGTTATCTATCTGTTATCTGTGTTATCTGTGTTATTTGTGTTATTTGTCTGTGTTAGCTGTGTTATCTGTCTGCATTATCTGTGTCATCCTTTTCCCAGCTGGTTACCAGAGCAGGAAGTCTGGCCTTTGTGTCCAGTATTGTTTTAAGAGGCCAGAAAGGAGCAAAAACAGATTCAGTGTTTCTGCCGCTTTCTTTGGCACATTGGTGAGAGGCTGCAGGCACAGGGGATGTGGAGCCTGCCCAGCCTGTGCTGGTGTGGGGGGCAGCGAGCTCAGCCTCTCTGCACTGATGTGCTGTGGACAGCCCAGGTCAGCCCCAAGGAGCAGAGAAATTAGCTGTGGTAGGAGACAGAGCCCACAAATTGAAGACCCTGTTTCTCATTCCTGGTTACCATAGCTTTTATGTAACTCCTATACTTCACTTTTAAAAATAGAAAGATACTTCTGAGTTGTGAGTTGCAGGAGATAGTATCTCTTTCGGGAAAATAAACTCTTCTCCTTTTGGCTGGGAATAAAACACACAAGTGAAAAAAAACAGCGAGGCTTACATCCCTCTTCATCCATCTTGCTTCTCTCTCTGGAGAGGAGAAGATGCTTTGGGATTTAGTTGCACCAATGAAGGTTTGAACTGGACATAAGAAAAACTTCTTAACCATGAACACAGTGAAACACTGGAACAGACTGCTGGGGGAGATTGTGGCACCCTGTCACTTGAGGAGTCTAAAAATAAAATAAGCAGATGTCTGGGTGTCTACTGAAAATGCTCTGGGTACAGTGGGTGCTCTCCTGAAGGAGGGGGTGACTCAATGATTCTCTCCTAGAGCCACTTCCATCCCTGTCCTCAGCATTCCCATGGCCAGCACAAGGGACACAGTGGCCTTTCCTACTGTAATTGTGAACTCTTTTTCACCCTGGCCTGTTGCCACTTCCCTCCTTCTTGCTGAGCCTCCGTGCCAGCACCATTAGTGAAAGTTGTTATTGGAGAAAAAAATAGATTCCGGCATCCATCAGGAGCAGCACAAGCTGTCGGCGTGCTGCTCGACATCACAGGGCTTGCAGCCTCCTAAATCATGTGGCAGAGCCTCTGCTGGAGGAATGTGTCTGGTTTGTGCTCCCCGTGGAGTGTTTGCAGCCCTGCTAGGGGGTGGGATGCTGTCAAACCTCCAGCTCCAGAGATGTGTGGGGGTCTCCTGCTCATGGAGATGCACTTCACCTGGTGCTGGTCATCTTCTCCACTGGTGAGCAATGACTTCCCACCTAGGAGACAGGAGCCAGAGCTGCTAACTGAGCTTCTGTTGGTTCCATTACAGAGGAAGGAGATCTTGCGATGCTTGCATCTCTGGGTGCCTGTCATGTATATTTTAGGAGGGGTTTTGGGACCGTCAGTGTCTTGCAGGTCAAATTCTGGGGTCCCCAGGTGATATCTGGAGGGTTAAGCTGATGCTATAGTTTGGAGTGGGACTGGAGGCTTCAAAATTCAGGCTGGATTCAGTCTTCTCTCTTTCTCACTGCTCACACACTGCTTTTTCCTGCCTGCAGTGATCACAGGGTATGAGTGACACCAAACTGTGTCAGATGGCTGTCGTGGAGGGCCATCCTGTCCTGTTCCTCTTGAGGCACAGGAAAGTTTCACACTTTCCTGCTGGGAAACCATAAGTTCAACCTTTATGTTTCTCCAGACCGCTCTGCTTGAGGAAGGTCAAGCTGGAGCCGTGGGTTCAGGGCAGGCAAGATAATGTACTTTATCATTGATTTTCAGTGAGAAGTTGCATTATGAGATTAAATATCTCATTTTTATTGCATGGGGAGGCAAACAAAAAACAGGAGCTCTGAAAATAAAACTTCAGTCCAAGTGCTGTGTTTGTGTGGGGAGGTGCTTGCAACTGGGAGTCAACGTGCCTTTTTTCCAGTCCTTTGGAGGTGAACTCTGAGAAGCTGCTTCCTCTGAGGCTGGTAAACAAAGTCAAACCTCATCTGTGTTTAAACCAGTGCCTAATTAATGTGTCTAATTGGCCCACATCTACTAATTCCAGGCTGGCAGGGAGTTTATTAAAAAGCTTTTCTAGTTCTAATGGATTGAAATAAGCAAAGCTGCTTAGCAGTCTCAGACGAAAAGCACTAAACAGGGACGAGTTGTGTGGGGCTGCTTGAGTCAATCCCAAGCCCCACCAGGTGTCAGTCCCTTCCCTGGTTTCAGCTGCAAGGTGCTCCAGCTCTCTGAGGCCCTGGTCACCATCCTGATGTACTCTGATTATTTTCGTTATTTTTAAACACCAAATTGATGTTTTTGTTTACTTTAGTAAAAGCATCAGCCATTCTAGCTTTAATGACATTAATATTTAGATTACAGGTAGCCTGGAAAAGCCACAGGGTATTTCTAAAGCAACAGATTTGTTAATTTCTAAAAAGTATTAGGTATCAGGATATGAATAAGAACCAGCTGCAGCTTCCCAGATGATGTCCTTAAGCTACAGCAAACTCCAGGCACTGCTGGGATGCTCCCAGCCAGGCAGCACAGGAGGTGGGCACAGAGCAATCCCTCCTCCATGAAGGGCCATGGCAATGCCTTCCTCTGCAGACACAGCATTCCTGATTGGATCCAGGCTGGATGTAGTGTTTGCCTCTGTCCCATGACTCCACAAATCATCCTGTAAAACATCCTCCTGCATGCTGGAGCTGCCTCGGATCTGTCTTTTGGCCATGCTCAGAGTTACTGCAGGCACAGGAACCTCACAGCTTTCCCTCAGCTCCGAGAATTCCTGCTGCCTCCCTCCTGGGCTCTTTGTAGCTCAGATGGCTGCAGGCACTTTGCTCTGCATTGTGATGTGGAAGCTCAGCAAGGGAACTAATGAAGCATTGGAAATAAAGTGGTTGTAAATGCAGATTGCCTCCACATGGTCTCCCATGGATGTGACTTCGAGGTTTCCAACCCCAGAGCAGGTGGACACAGTTCCATGTGTGACTGTCTTCAACCACCTTACCCAATACCAGCCATGCTGAACCTCATCATGCCACCTCCTAATACCCCTGAACTCATTGGGAAGCCTTTCCCAATTACCCTTCCGACCCAAATGGGTTCTGTGAGGTGACACACAGCCTCACCCTCCCCCCCCACTCCCCCCAGCAGCCTGATCTGCCAGTGGTTGTACAAAAAGCAAACCTGGGCTGGAAATGCTGACAGTATTCCTGACAGTTTATGGTCACAAACTCTATTTTCAGCCTAATAAGTTTTTTATATGCTTGGAAAGCTGTCAGTTGAACATCAGCCAGGCACAAAGTACCTGCCATAAAGCGCCTGGACCACAACCAAACGGGAAAGGTACTGCTCTGCTTTAGCAAGTTCTTGATCTCAGATACTTCAGTTGGTTCATTTATTTTGTTTGATGATCTTGGCTTTAATTATAAAATAATAAGATAAAATCATAATGCCTCTACTTAAAATTCTGTGGAAATATTTGCTGAGAGCCTGTTAAATCAAAGCTGTCATCCAGTTTGGATTGGGAGCTGGGAGGTGCCAGAGTGGACCAATTACTGCCAGGAGCCCCTGGATGCCTGAGAATGTGTCTGGAGAAGGGTCCTGCTCCTGGGCAAGGTGAATGTGGAGATGAGCTGCCATGGCCACCAGCACAGACTGAATGTAGGAATTTGGTCACAGGGAGACACGGCCTGATCCCGGGCATGCCTCTGCTCCCACCACGGTGGCATCATCATAATGCTAAAAATGCCTTCCCTGCATCACAGCCTGTGGGACTGCCTGGAAGGTCAGGGCTGGGGGGGGGGGACAAAGGCTCTGGGAAGGAATTACAAATATGTCAAGCTCTTTCGGAGAATTCCCCGGTGACAGCTTTGCCCCTGTCCTAGAGGCAGCCCACGCCGTGGTAGCGCTGCACTGCGGGATTGGGAAGGTCCTGAACAGCTGCAGGGATCCTGCGGGACACACCCAGGGGAGGGATGGGCTGTGCCATGCTGGGTGCCATGAGGTGAGCGCTCGGTGGCCTCGGTGCCAAAGGTGCCTGCCCGCAGGGGGGGTGCACTAACCGGGTCCCCATGGCACCCCATGGCACCCCATGGCACCCCATGGCACCCCATGGCACCGCCCTTCCCAAAGTGCCGCCGCCGTGGGCTGGAGGGGCAGGGGGCAGCGCCTGTGACTTCAGGATGTGTTTCAGGGAGGAAGGGAGGCGGGTTCCCAGCTGAGCCCCGCTCCGGCTGGGACAGCCGGGGACAGCGGGGACAGCCGGGGCGCTGAGCCGGTGGCGCTGCCGCGGCCCCCGGAGCTCCGATTCCAGGGCAGACAGTTTACAGCAAATGGCTCCTTTCGATTCTAAAAATAACCCGCTAGGAAACAAATCGGCCCCGGGACTTCAGCTGGAGAAAAGTGCATTTATCAGTAAAATTCAAGATGTCCTTTCCTGTTTTTCTCTGAAGAACCGGTGCTGAGTGATTGAGCTTCCCAGCCAGGCACCGACTTCTTTCAATGCAGGGTTTGATTCCTCCAAGAAGATTCATTTTTCTTCCCCTGCT